GCAGCTTTCCTGTCCTTCGGCTCGACTTCCCAGTTTGCGTGCGTGGGGATCCCTTCCAGAGCTGCTCCAGCCTACCCGCCGCCGCTCTGAGGATGCGCGTGGGCTGCCCTGACCACTGGCCAGAGCGCTGCTGCGCCTCCCCAGGCGTCCAGACATCCTTGCACTTCGTCCACTTGTGCATCCAAGAGAGACGTGGACTTCCTTGACTGACTACCCACTCTTCCCAGGACGTGAAGGTAACTTAGGGTGTCTTCGGATCTTTCAGCCTTCGAAGCGGGGTTCCAAGTCCTTCAGGAAGGCCTCGAGAAAGCGTTCTGTGACTTTCATGTCTAGGGTCTGCTGTCCTACGTCCTGGGGCATTGCTGCCGAGATCATCCTAGCTCTTTCAAAGAAACCAATCGTGGGCACCCATCTGGACTCCGATGGTGCAGGCTTCCAAGTTTCCCAGCGATGTCCGAAGTGCCTCTTCCTTGTTGTGACTGCTAGCAGCCGTCTGAGCCCACTCGCAATCTAACGCAGCGGCGCGCGATGCGACTTCCAAGACAGCTTGCGGGTCTTACAGTGTATCCTAGGAGGAACGTAAACGAGCCTTGCTCGACGTGCCCTTTAGGGGCTGTCTTCAAGGGAGTATCTGTCATCCTGCTGATCGTGTGCTCAAGTTCCATGGTAAGACTGCCGTGCGCAGCATGCATCGCAGCTTGGCGAGCCTCGCAACTGGCGCGATCAGGGGCGCTTCTCATTTCCTGCACTACACCGCGCACCTCCATGCTTCGAGACCTGGTCTTCTGGAACTTTCCAGGGTCAGTTCTCCAGATGGGCCAGAGGGCTTAACGCGAGGAAGGCGCTGGCACGTGCGCAACGCTGGGATCGCGTGCTGCTCGCCCGACCCTGCGTGCAGAGGCGCGGGGCAGCGCGGGGAGATGGGGCGCGTCGAGTCGACAGACGAAGTGGTGACAATGCCAGCAAGCTCATGCAAGAGCACAAAGAAATCAATGACAGTCTTCGACTTGGCCTTCATGCAGGTCGGCTCCGAATGTATTGCAGCGTCCAGATCAGCTCCGAGCAAGGACTCAGGTGCATTCAGCCTGCGAACTTTCATGTTCCAATCACCTGCAAGGAGCGCCGGTAGTGGAAGATGCTCTCGGAGCTTAGCAATGTAGCAATATCTTTCGGTAGCGCTAAGTTCGTATTGTTCAAGCCTTCTTTCGTCTGCATGTAGAACGGCGCCGGACTAAGCTTGGGCAGCATGGGGATTTCAACCTTGCGAGCGCACGTTCTATGCGGCAAAGGAAATTCGATGATTACATTGCTTGCGCCGGTGTTGAGACCTGTTCGAATCAAACTTGCAGCGCCACCAGAAGGCACTCCATATTCATGATCGTCAGCCTTCGTAAAGAAGCCGATGCAACCGCGATCATAACACAACTCCATGGCAGACTGGATGGCTTCAGCATTCTTCAGTAGCGCTTCCTGCAGGAGCAAAATGGAGGCCTCAGGGAATTGAAAACGACCAGACTCATGGTCATAGTTCGTCCTGAACGTAGCCGACGAATTCGCGTTGAGGGTTGTTATTTTCAGGGCCCACCCTTGGTCCGAAGTTTGTCAAGTCTCAGCTTCCGACTCTGCCCCCGAGACAGCGCCCCGCACCCTCCCCTGGCAGCTGGGCGGGCAACTCGGTGGCTGTGGCTCGGGGGCCGGCCCTTCCCTTCCGTGACTCTGCCTGGGCATCTGCTGACGATGCCGAACCTGAACCCGATCCATGCGGAACGCTGCTTGTGGGCGCAGTTGCCGAACGTGCTGGCTGCGCTCCCTTCAATCCTGCAATCCAATGCGAGACCCCCCCCGGCTCCCGATTCTTGGGCTGATTCGTCATGCGAGCAAGCTGGGCGTTCAAGCTATCCAGCTGGGTTTTTGAATCCTTGGACTGAACCGAAGCGGCTTCATATTTGGTGACCATTTCAGCTGCTTGAGTTTCCAAATCTGCAAGCGTCTCCATCGCTGGCATCACGAGGTTCTTCCGATGCTGGGTCTGGGTCGAGAGACTCAGAGCTTTCGGTTCGGGGGGCCGGTTCTGGAAAACTTTCGCTTTGGCCAGCTTCGCTGCTTCATGGGCTTCTGCAAGGCGAGTGTCGCTCTGATCCACTCCCCACCACTTATAGAACTTGACCAGGTGTTTTGCCATCCGCAACTCATGAGACGACGGGTCAACTTGATGCGGAGGAGCAAGTGGAAGCGAGTCGCGCCTCCAAGGACGCTTACTTCCACCACCGACTGCTCCTTCCGAACCTGTAGCTCCTTCTGCAACTCCTCCTTCTTGTCCTTTGCCTTTGCCCTTCCTCATCGGGTCACCCCGCCCGCGCCAGCCGCTCTCGTCCACATCTGGCTGCTTGGTGCCAAAGAAGGCGCGGAACGGCTTGCGGCGGCTGGCCCAGGTCCAACCTGGGCAGGCGGAGGTGGGGCCTGGCTCGGCGCTTCCACGAGGACATGGGGCGAGGAGACAGGGGGCGCGAGGGCGCGCCGAGGGAAAGACTGACCTGACCTGCTGGGCAGACGGAAGGCCGCGCGCAATGCCTGGTGACGGGGCGGTTCGCCTCGAACTTGCCCCTTTGCTGCAAGCAATCACGAAACCGCAGGGCGATGGTTTCGTACTTGAGCCAAAATGGCCACGGAGAAGGAGGAGGACGAGGAAGAGGAGGAGGAGAAGGCAGAGGAGGAGCAGGAGGAAAAGCTGGAGAAGGAAGTGGAAAAAAGGAGGGGGGGGAGGAGGACAAGCTAGGTGCGCTCGCGTCATATCTGACATCCTACCCCTCCCTCCCATCCCTTACCATGGCGTAGATCCCCTCTCGACTCGCACAGTCGGATGTCGAGCAAGGCAGTGATCCCGAAAGGGTACGCGATGCACTGTAGAGCACGGCATGGCATGGCGTAGAAGAGCACCGCAAAGCGTAGTATCAACCTAGCATTGCATTGCATGCCGTGGCATGGCACGGGACATGACGCCAGCGCTGCAGCGGGAGCGCGAGTCGGAACGAGCGGAAGCGCGGAAATGAAGCCAGCGCTGCAGAGGGAGCACGATTCGGAACGAACGGAAGCACGGAAATGAGGCCAGCGCTGCAGCGGGAGCACGATTCCGAACGAGCGGGGCCCGAAAATGAGGCCGGCGCCTCAGCGAGAGCAGCATTTTGGAAAAATGCAAGCGACAACCCAACTCCGGGGAATCCTGTGTGTAAAAAACAATACGCGGGGGGGGGGCTAATACTTTCAAGCCGTCGTCAGGGGAAGAGGGAGAGTAGTATTCATATGGAATAATTGTGGAGGAGACGGAGGCGGAGGAGGAGGAGGATGAGGTAGAGGAGGAGGAGGAGGAGGCAGAGGAGGAGGAGGAGGACGAGGAGGAGAAGGAGGAGAAGGAGGAATATGATGAGGAGGAAATGGAGGGGGGGAGGGGGAGGAGGAGGAGCAGGCGGGGAGGGGTGGTGGTGGGGGGGAGCATGGAAAGGATGATGATGATGACGATGATGCTGATGATGATGATGATGGTAATGCTGAGTATGATGATGATGATGAGGAGGAGGGGGAGAGAAAGAGGATGATGATGATGATGAGGAGGAGGAGGAGGAGCAGTAGGGGGAGGAGGAGGAGGAAACGACGAGAACGGGAAGGAGAAGGAGTAGAAGGAGGAGGAAGAAGAGGAGGATGAGGAGGCGGCGGAGGATGAGGATGAGAAGGAGCAGGCGGACGAGGAGGAGGAAGAAGCTGACGAATCATAATCATAAGCACACCCAAAATCACAGTCATACTACGTATAACACCACTAAGAATGAGACTATCACGACGACTCACACGGATAATAACAAGACTACGAAGAATCATACTGCGCAGAAGAATGCGAATACAAACTATTCATACTACTACTAGACGTAATATTAATCATACGACGAATACTAAGACTACTGCTACTCAGCATAGGACGAACACTAATAACAACAATCCTAATGATACGAGAAGAAAACCATTAAGCCAAACAACAGGACAGTATACTGATAATGAGACTACGCACGACACTGGTACTCAGAGTCCGGAGAATATGACAAGTAATAATACTACTGCGAGGGAGACTGATAACACGAGAACTACTAGTACCAGTAGTAGCGATACTAATAATGCGAATCGTACTGCTACAATAATAACACTAACACTGATACTACTAATCACACTGCAACTGATAGTGCTATGAGTAATACTATTATAATAAGACAGATGCTTCTGTGCATTCCAATATCCATAAGCACAATACTAATGCAATAAGGAAGGCTCATCTGTATAATCGATATACATCTCTATACACATACATGCATACACACATATATATATATATATATATATATATACATAGAGGAATAATAATATCACCATTCGGCATACGGCTATTCATAATAACACTGTCACTACTACTATTAATGCTAATGCTACTACTAATGACACTAGTAATGACACTACGAGCAACAAATACTCATACTATTAAGGAGCATGGGGGTACACATAAGAATATTAATACGAAACAACAGAATAATAATAGTATCATGTGAAACGAAGGGTACGAGGAGATGGAGGAGGAGGACGAGGAGGAGGAGGAGGCGGAGGAGGAGGAGAAGGGGGAGGAGGAGAAGGACGAGGAGGAGAGGAGGAGGAGGAGGAGGAGAAGGAGGAGGGAGAGAAGAGAGGAGGGAGGAGGAGGGAGGAGGAGGAGGGAGAGGAGGAGGAGGAGAGGAGGAGGAGGAGGGAGGAGGAGAGGAGGAGGAAGGAGGAGGGAGGAGGAGGAGGAGAGAGGAGGAGGGACAGGAGGAGGAGGAGGAGGTAGAGGAGGAGGATGAGGAGGAGGACAAGGAAGAGGAGGAGGAAAAAGAGGAGGGGGAGGTAAGAGCGACGTTCTCTCCTTCTCGGTCCCCTGACCATTGTCGCTCGCCCCATCGCTGCGCGGAGCCTGGTCGGTGGCTGCATCAGCCTCGCCGGGGGCCGGAGCGCGGGCGGCCTGGGGCTGCAGCCGCCTGCGGGGCGGAGTGGAGGGGGGGATTGGGAGGAGGAGGAGGAGGAGGAGGAGGAGGAGGAGGAGGAGGAGGAGGAGGAGGAGGAGGAGGAGGAGGAGGAGGAGGAGAGGAGGAGGAGGGGGAGGGGGAAACGGCGGAGGCGGAGGCGGAGGCGGAGGAGGAGGAGGAGGGGGAGGAGGAGGAGGAGGAGGAGGAGGAGGAGGAGGAGGAGTAGGAGGAGGATCTCGGCCTGCGGGGGCGCCCGCTTGACATGGTAAGGCATCAAGTTGGACAAACAGACCTTTCATTAGATTCTGGCGACTTTACTCAAATCCCTCCCTTGTTTGCCAAGCGGGGTGAAAATTGCAGGTGGGTGGCTGATATCACTTCCGTTGTTGATGGCGCGATGCTACCTGCTGTCTTAAACGATGGCAAGATTGTATCGCACCTACAGCAATCTATGGCTACTGTACATGAATATTTTGTGGTCCACTTCATGGAGCCGACCTACGGTCGTGGTAAGACTGGCGCATTGGTTCAGATCAGAGGCCCCCCAGAGGGAACAATTTCGAGCTCAGCTTTACGGCGACAGTGACGTTATACTTAAGAACCTCGAATACAAGTACGAATTCCATTTAGAACGTCAATCTATACATCTGGGATCGGTTATTTCATTTGAGTCATCGTGGCGCACTGAGGTCACCGAAGGGGTTCAGCAACACGACCATGCCTGGGGCCCAATGAACGGAGCATTATCAACAAGCCACGTATATCTCAGGAATCGAAGGTACGGTCTGTCGAAGCACTTGCATGTTCTCGCTAATTTCAACAGGTCGAGATCTGGCACAGGCTTGGGGACCTCAACGAGGGCCCGTTACAGGCAACGTACATCAAGACCTTGCGAGCGGCGGCTGGATTGGTTCATACGACGGCGACGGAGGTCCACTCCTCAGATGCATATGTCCTTCATCGAGCCCGTCGTCCTGCACTCCCTGCGATACGTCGGATCCGCCGACGTCGGTATTTAGAACGGACTGTCAGACATGGTCCTGCCACACCACGAGCGCTTCTTGATGCCAGTGGTGCCGTGGACTCGTGGGGGGGCAGTGTTCTGGCAGACCTTGATTGGTTACAGGAAGTGGCTTATGATGATTATGCTATTTCACGTGCCCTGGCGATCGGTTTAATCTTATCCGCACTGCAGGGCGTCAATATCTCCGACTGTGTACAGTGGCGTGGGAGAGACACGTTGCATGGCATCTTGGTTATTGCCAGTCAACCGCGTGACAATCTACGACAATTATGCTTGTTCCTCCTCCCCCTCCACCTCCAGACGACAGCTGACGATATATTTGGTATGAATGTGGAGAGACGCTTCGCACGTCACAAGCGTGGCGTGGACACCGGACGCGCGATCATTGTGGCATTGGGCATGCAGGAATTTACGCGGAGATGGGGTACTGTCGAGCCTGTGATTCCGATTTTCACATGCGCAAGAGGATGCTCTACAATTTGAAGTATCGCTATACTGGGTGCCCGTCTCATCTTCGCATCTTAATTCCGCCGGTATCCAGGGACCTGCGTGAAGAATTTGGGGACCACGATGCGAAGGAGACTGCTACACTTAAGTCGTTGAGATACACTGAAGCTGAGGCGTTATGTCCACCAGTTCGTGGTCCCAACTATCGGCGTGGCCGTCGAAAATACATGCTCCCAGACGAGCTTGATCCTATAAACATACCCTCTATTCTATTTGATCCATCGTGCTCTGCAGAAATTCTCATTTTATGCGACGGCAAATATCCGCGTCACCATCTTGCATTAGACTTGGGAGCTCGCAACCTTCCGCGCGGACTACAGATTCGGAAACTTGGTGCACGTGAAACTGATATGAATAATGTGATCCTACATGGTGTTCGGAATTCTCATGTCATGGATAGGGTCAAGCAAACCGCTCCAGGCATGCCTGCCCGGGAGCCTTGGAAAGAAACTGGCGTAGCCCTGCCTGCCAACTTATATATCTGAAACCCTCTTAACCCTCCAAAGAGCTATCCGGGAAAAACGCTGATCGGGGATGCTGGCGAGGACAATTCTTTCTGGACGTTGCTCTGTCATATTGGGCGACTTTTCCAACATGCGCGCCACACATCAGTTGTGGGCCACTGAGAAGCTGGAAGGAGTTGGACGCACACTTGCGAACTTTGTGAACCAGTTGATGCATTTTCTCCGCAGACTGTACCATGTCTCTAGACGAAGGACAACACTTCTGGGTGTCGTTTTGTACCTCACGTGCCGATCCTCACTGCTGGTGCTTCAGGTGGGGTCCTGACCGATACGCTGGCTGATCGGGTATGTGCGAGTTGGGGGCACGCTGCGTGTTTAAGCTCGTGATGCTGCGCGTGGTGACGGCAGCCGCTCCGAGCCCTGCATGGCGCCTGGAGGAATGCCACTCGTGTGGGTGCCACAACTCATGAGCGGAGTGCGACCAGTCCGAGCTCGAGATGCCGCGCGACGTTGACGGCGGCATTTTCTTGCTCTCGCTGGGCACCGTCGTGTGGTGCTCGTGGGCCGGGGCCCCCTCGAGTTGACTTAGAGGGCTGCTCGGCTGGCAGTGTCAGCGCCCCTCGGAGCAGCGGGGCCCCATCCCCATGAGCCCATCGCGTCCGAGGGGCACTGTGACGCGCCCCCGCTCGGGGGCGCCTTTCGTTCGATCGCTTGTCGTCCGTCGCATTTGATTGCGTCGATGACGAGAGGGAAGGTGGGCAGGTGTGCGACGGCGACGGCGGCCGTGGTGGGTCGCGGCCGCGGCGGCGGCCGCGCGTAGCAGTAGATCGAGACACCGCGGGAGCTTGCCTTGTGGCGGGAGCGCAGCAGCAGCAGCAGCAGGAGGAGGAGGAGGAGGAGGAGGAGGAGGAGGAGGAGGAATAATACCCCTGCCGAGAAGAGGCCCTGGAGTTTCTAGACCCGAGCCAACTCCGGGGCCTCACATTCCGTTCCTACCGCGCGCGCAACGCGGAGGCGCCTGGGGCGGCGCGCCGAAGAGGGCCGCCAGGTAGCCCTGTCGGCGAGAGGCCTGTTGGAGCCAGGCCTGTGCAATTGCAGCGATGGCAGCGCCTGGCCTGGCTCTGACGGCATGATGCGTACGAAGACAAAAGCCAATTTAGGGAACACTGGGGATAATAACATCATCGCGCAATGGGGGAAATGTGTAGATCTGAATTCGGGAGACACCAGGCGACAGACATGTCTGATTGGGGAGCTGAGAGAGGAAAGCTCACATAACATCAAGCTTGGGACACTGGAGAACATGTTTCAGCTGATCACGCTGGGGGCATCCACAAACAGGACAGGCTAACGTAGGACATGTGAAACAGCCTGTGGCGCACAAAGCATTACAAACGGTCTTCTGGGGCCACGGCGCGAATATTTTCCAAAAGATGGGTAATGGTAGCAGGCTTCGCGGAACGGGGAACAGCTCACGAAGCACACGTTTATTTTCTTCAGCGAGGGGACTTCGTGCACGAGCATCTGGGCGATACCGATCGCGTACTTCCGCGGGCCCGTTAGGCTAAGGGGGTCTACCGAGGTCTTTCTTTCCTATTCCACGAGGCAGGAGGCCGCGTTGCTTAGACGCCCTTGAGCGACACTGTGTCCCCTCACGGTGGAAGAATCATAGCGGCGAAGGCTGCGGAGGTCAGCAAGGAGTTGCGCGAGGGCGGGCTTCCCGAAGGCAAAAGCCGTGCTCCCTGCGGCTATGCTCTGCGGGCCCACGTGGCCTCGGGAGGGTGCTGCGCCGATCGTGGCCTCCGCTCCCGCTGGGGAGCTAGTTCCCCCCCCCCTCTCCCCCCCCCGCCGCCCATGCTGACCGACTGCCCAAGGGACAACTTCCCTGCCTGCTTCTGCATGCACTTCTTCTGAGGGCGCCGCCGCCCTGGGGACCTTCAAGAGTGGCTCGAAGGGCTCACCCTGGGTGAAGGACAGGAGCGGCATGTGTGGGTTCTGTCCTTGGGCGTTGCCAGCAGCGAGACCAAGGGCGACCTCACGCGTGAGGACACCATTAGGCACTGGATGGGCCTCACGGTTCCACGGGGTGATCGTGGGCCTCATGGCGCCCCCCCTGCGCGAAATCTGGTCGGCGGTCCGACACAACGCCCTGGAGAAGGGCTCCCAGACCTGTGCGTAACCTTGATGAGTTGTGCGGCCTCAAGGGGCTCAGCGCCGTTGAGCGGAGGCAGATTCAGCCTGGCAGCGCCCTCCTCAGGACCACTATCCGATTTTTGCTCGCTGGCCATATTACTAAGACCCCTGTCGCTGGCGCGTGGATGCTGGTTGGCTCCTTCCAGAGATCCACTGGGTGGCCGCTTTTCTGAGCGCGGCCAAGACCACTCTCGAACAATGTATGCTTGGATGTGCGCACCAGGAGCCAGCCCTGATGTTGGCATCCACATCATTGCTCTCTCGAGGCTTGCGTCGTCCTCCCAAGGAAGGGGTCGTTGCGGGCATGCAGGGGGCACCTGGCGGCTCTTGGGCGGGAGGGAGGGACTTTCCGTACGACGGTCTTGAAGGAAAACGTCTTTGCCTTGAACCGTACCCTTGCCATGGCATTCCTGGAAAAGATTTGGGAAGGTTTTACCTTCGAGGTCTCGTGGGTGGAAGATCCCTCCTGAGGCGGAGGAATTTCTATGTTCTGTTGGGCCCCTTTTGGGAGTTCGCGCAGCGTCACGACTGCGCAGTATGGGACCAACGAAGGGGACGGTGATGTGGGGGTTGTACTGCTCACTTCCCTCCCCGCCCCCCCCCCGCCCACCATGTCCTGCATTCACGCGGACGCTTCGGAACCTTCCTTTCAGCGATACAGCAGAAGCCAGCAGCAGCAGCAGCAGCAGCAGCAGCAGCAGCAGCAGGACCAGGATGAGGAGCCAGAGCAGGAGCAGGGCAAGGAGGATGACGACGACGAGGCTGAGCAGAAGTGTGAGGAAACCGAGATTGCTGTCAGCCCGCCGGTGCCACTCCCCGCCGTCGTCGTCAACGTCGTCGCCGTGCCGTCGCGAGCCTGCCCGCCCCTGCATGGCAAGAAGCGCCGCGGCCGCATGCGGGGGCTGCGACGGCGGCCTGGGCCTCGCTGCCGCTGCCGGCGGCGGCTGCGACGGCGGCCTGGGCCTCGCCGCCGCTGCCGGCGGTGGCCCCGACGGCTGCCGGGGTCTCGCTGCCACTGCCGGCGGCGGCCCCGAGGGCGGCTGGGGTCTCCTGGGCGCCACCAGCCTCGGCGGCACCGCCGGCGGCCTGGGCCCCCCTGGCTGCAGCAGCCGACCCTGCGGTCGCAGCTGCGGTGCCCGCTGCTGCTGAGGCCGCAAGCTCGGCGGCGCAGGCTGCCATTCCGCCGCGCCCGGCCGCGCCCGCGGCGGCTGCATCGGACGCGGCCTCGCCGCTGGGGGCATGGCGGCGCGCGGGTGCGCCGCCGGCCATTCGACCCCTGGCGGCGGCGTCCACACTGCTGGAGCTCCGAGGGAGGGCGCGGCGGCGGCGTCCGTGCCGTCGGCGGGCGGGCCGCCGTGGAAGGAGGGGAAGCAGAGGCAGGCGTCCCCGGCCAGCGCCACCGCCGAGGCCTTGGCGGCGTACGCCGCTCGGCCGCTCTCACCGAAGAAGAACCAACGGCCCAATCATAAACTTTCGGAAGTCCGCGCGGATTTGCTGGATCTGCGCTGGGCCCCTTCTGGCTGCGCCTCTGGCGCGTCCTCTGGCGCGGCCTCCGGCGCGGCCCCTGGAGCGCTCCGCGCGCCAGGGGGGGGGCCCAGCGCAGATCCAAGAACCCAGCGCGGAGCCCAGAAAGTTTCTGCTTATGCCGCATGTCCCTCTCCTGTCTCGACCAGGCCCTGCACGAAGTCGTCCCCCAGGCCGGGGTTGCCCTCCACCCGCGTCCAGATCGGCCGGGCCGGCTCCTCCAGGAGGGCGCGCTGCTCCTCGAGCAGGCCAACGAGCTCGGCGAACGACTCCGCGCCGATCCTGTTGTGGGAGAGGTGCAGCTGGCTCGGCAGCTTCTCCTCGGCGGCGGGCCCAAGGGGGGGAGCGCGAGGGGGCAGTCTTTCCCAAACAGCGGCGGGGCTTCTCAGGACCCCGGTGGCCTTCGAAGCAGCCGTCTGTGGTTTCGGAGAAGGCTTGCAAGGCTTGGCAGAGGGCGCAAGGGCCTCGGATGAGCCCCGCCGCCCTCTGAGAACGCGTGCCCCATCGCAGGTTCTCCCCAGGACTCGCTGCCGATCTCCGGGGAGAGCGCCGCCAGCCAGCCCGCCGCGACCCGCAGCCCGTTGTCGTCCACCCCGACCTGTGGACGAGGGCAGACATGGCACACGTGAGCACAAACTGTCGGAGGCGCGCGCGGGTTTCTTGGATCATCACCGGAGCCCGCCTCCGTGGCGAGCGGAGCGCGCCACGGGGGGCGCCAGAGGCGCCGCCAGGGAGGCCCAGCGCCGATCCAAGCAATCCGCGCGGAGCTCATCTCTGCTCCCCGGGCCGCTCCCAAGGTGCGTCCCGACGGGGATTTCGAAGCGAAGCCTCCTGTGTCGACGAAGGCCTCTCGGGAGGCCTAAGGGAAGGCGAAGGCGAGGCAAGGACCCGCAACACAAGTCATGTCCAGGCAATTCTTCTGTCCTGCAATACAACAATGGACGATCTCAAACCTGTGATGTATGTGATAGCTTGTTTTGCAGGCGCTCTGTGGTGAGCTTTCGCCGGCCTTGAACATCTTCAGGACGTCGACGTGCACGGCGTGCTCGGCCAGGGCCGCGAACAGGCACTCGACAGCCTTCGGGAACGGTCGACATCGAATCGGGAAAGTCGGATCGCACCGAGAGTGTGCGTCGGATCGGGCCGCATCGGCACGGAGTCGACATCGAATCGGATCGGCCGCGCCGGGATGCACAACGGCTCCACGCAGACGTCGGGCCGCACGGGATTGCCCGAGCGTCGGAGACGAATCGCATCGAGCTGGACGAGATCGACATCGAATCGGATCGATCGAGTCGAAGTGGGCCCTGGCCTCCGGGGGCAGCACAACCCGCGAGACGTCCAGCGACCTGAATCTGGCCCCGCCCTCGGCGTGCTCGGCCACGGCCTGCTTGGGCGAGGGAGGGCAGGGGCGGGCGATCGAGCGATCGCGCGGGTCCGACTGGAGCCAGCTAGACAGAAGCAGGATTGCGACATGATGCTGATGGGGATGGGGAGGAGGGGGGTGATGATGATTATGATGATGAGGATGATGGTTATGATGATGCTGATTATGATGATGCTGATGCTGATGATGATGACGATGATGATGCTGATGATGATGACGATGATGATGATGATGCTGATGCAGATGATGATGCTGCTGCTGCTGATGATGATGCTGATCAGTCTGATTACTATGACGATGATGCCGATGAGGATGCTGCTGCTGATGATTGTGGTGATGATGGTGATGATGCTGCTGCTGATGATGATGATGGTGATGATGGTGATGATGGTGATGATGATTATGATGATGATGATGACGATGATGATGTTGGTGATGACGACGGTGGTGATTCCGATGCTGGTGGTTATGCACATACATATGGTGATACTGATGCTGCTGTTGCTGGTAAGGATGCTCATCAACGACGATGATGTTGATGATGGTGGTCGAATCATGGTGGTGATGATTGTGATACGGAGGATAATATGGATGATGCTGCTCATGATGGGAAGGAAGACGAGCGCACGGAGGAAAACGAGGCCGGCTTATGATTATGACCATGTTTTTCATGATGCTGATGATGCTGGTGATGATGCTGCTGCTGATGACGACGATGCTGATGAAGCTGAGGATGATGCTGCTGATGCTGCTGCTGATGCTGCTGATGATGCTGCTGATGATGCTGATGATGGGGAGGGGGAGGAGGAGCAGGAGGAGGAGGAGGAGGAGGAGGAGGAGGAGGAGGAGGAGGAGAGGGAGTAGGGGTATAGCAGGAGCAGGAGAGGGGACAAGAGGATGAGGATGGGGAGGGGAGCGAGTCAGGAGGGCAAGAAGCGGAAGGGGGGCATGGAGGGAAGGAGAAGGGGGAGGGATGGCGGGAGGCAGGCGGAAAGGAAGACGAGGACGGGAGATGCAGAGAAAACGAGACGGAGGGATGCCGGGAGGGGCCTGGATAAGGTACAGGGCACAAGGCGGGGGGCGGAGGGAACGTAGGAGCGATGGGAAAGAGTGGCTGAATTAATGCGTGAAGTGAATGAGAAAGAGAGAGAGAGAGAGAGAGAGAGTTACGAGGGAAAGGGGATTGAGGGGGGAGACATTTAGAACATGGGGCAGAAAAAGGATTCCCACGGGGCCCAATTCGTGTGAACTGGGCCACAAGGCTGTGTCAATCGAGATGTAGGCCGACTCGAACTTCTGCCTGCTGAGGTCCTTGTGGATGCCCATCTGCGCGACTGCAGCTGTGTTCCAATTGGGCTTCGGCTGTTCGCGGATGCCACGCGGCTGTACTTCCACGGCCGGCATCGCCCCATGCTGCGCGATGCCCGATTGGCGGAAGGTCTTGGACTCCATGCCATGGTCGACTCCTCCCATGATGACGGCGAGCCGCTTTGTTTCGAGCTCCTTTCTGACTTGCTTTGGCGACTTGTCCGTGGAGACGAAGAGGGGGTCTCAGCCCCGTGGACGTTCTGCGTGCTGAAACGGCGCGACTGTCCGCCAGCCAGCTTGGGGGCACGCGGGAACGCAAGGGCTCGAGGCAGTGCGACCTACGAGCCTCCTTGGGCATGTCGATGGAAACGACGGGCTGGAACGTCTTCGGAAATTTTGACATGATCTGGTTGAGAATGGGCATCTGGAGTCCATTGAACTGTAGCGCGACGGACGTTTACGGACGTTTGCGGGTTGAACGTTGCTGGGCGCGCCAGTGCTGAAGAAGGTCGGGTTGGGCTCGCGGTCGTAGTCGGCACGGCTGGCGAGGTCAATTGCAGGGAGTTGAGCTTCAGCGAGGGAGATGGCAGCTTCGAGACGTTTCACAGATTGTCGCAGCGCAGCTTGCTCTTCTGCTTGTGCTTCCTGTCGGCGGCGCGTGCTGCTGAGGTCCCGTTCGGCGCTCTCAAGGCGGGCCTGCTGCGGCGCGTGCGTAGTGGGCCCCAGTGGTGGAGCGGAGGTCGGCCTGGACGTTGGGCCAGGTGTGGTCGAACGGGGGGCTGAGCTGCTAGGTGGCAAGCGTGAGCTGGTTGTTGATCGTGCCGTCAATGGCAACGGCGAGATCCCCACGAACTGCTCCGTTAGGTGGCCGCGGAAGTCGAGGTGGTAGCTCCCGAGGTACAGGTGGTGCAGCATCCCAGGGCTGATGCGGTCGGGGAAATGCAGGGACGTCTGGTCGATCGCGAGCGTGCTGCGAACCTCCAGCACCTTGGGTGGCAAGAAGCTCGTCGTCTGGGAATGTCGGGGCCATCTCCCGGTCGTGAGTTAATCTGGCGCGCTCTGCCTCATCGAGAGAATCGAACGTTTACTGTTCGCATCGAGCTGGCCACAATGAGTGAAAGCGGCCCCCATCAGCACCAGGAGCTTGTGCAGCGCCTGTGGAGCGAGCCAAACAAACCTCGAGTGCTGGACCAAGACGCAGATGCCACTGCAACGCCTTCCCCGTCTCGCCGACGTCTTGAGCTTCCTGATCCCGCCCATGGGTCGCGTCCTTGGAGAGGGTCACGACGGTCTGTGGCGCCAGCAGGGGGTTCGCGCTCATGGATTGCTTCTCGTCGTTCGCGACGACGTGCTTGTGGAAGTGTGCTGCGGCGAGAGACGTCTTCACTGTGTCTTCCGCTACGCGCTCCTCGCGATGTTGAGTTCGAACTCGAGCTAGAAGACTACATGGTGCTTGCTGTGCTGCAAACCTTTGGCTGTCGATGATGGCGTTTTTGTAGCAGCCCGACCCGAGAGCAGCAAGAACGTAGAGCACCAATGCGAGGGGACCGCGTGTACGGGCGCTGGCGCGAGCTGCTTGGGGCGCGCCAGGACTTGACTGCAACCGTGCCTGGGGCGGACCAGGATTTTGGTATGGATGTGCCTGAAGCGAACCAGGACTTAGATATTGATTGCCTGGGGCGGACCAGGACTGGGACGTGAAAGACAGGGCGGGGCGCTTTTGCCGTGCCTTGTTGGAAAGGATCCTACCCCGTTGGGGCAGTGAGTGCTTCGCCATCTTGGCCTTGAGCCAACATGGCTACGGCTGATGGTGATGCTGCTGCTGCTGATGATGATGATGATGATGATGATGACGAAGATGATGATGAAGATGATGATGATACTGATGATGATGATGATGATGATGATGATGATGATGATGCCACAAATCATCGGCGACACCGAGCTTCGGCAGAAACAGCAGCGTCGCCCAAGCATCGGCGGAAGGGGCAGAAATTGGTGATGATGCTGCTGCTGATGATGATGATGCTGATGATTATTATGATGATTCTTGTAATGATGGCAGTGGCGACGACGATGCTGATGATGATGATGATGATGATGATGGTGATGATGATGATGATGCTGATGATGAGGGTTTTGATAAAGGTGGTCATGCTGATTGTGCTGGTCATTGCGGTGATGCAGGTGATCACATACTATGGTGACGACGGTGGTGGTGATGGATATGAGGACAATGTTGTTGATGATGAGCATGATGATGCTGTTGCTGATTATGGTGATGAGGAGGAGAGGGGGAACACAGAGGGAAGCGAGGAGGAGGGAAGGAAAGGGCCGCAGGGCGCCCCGCCTCATCGTCCTCATCCTCCCCCCCACGCGCCCTCCGCCCTCCCCCCCCCCTCGTGCCTCCCTCCTCCCCCCTCCTCTCGCCTTTTCTTCCCTCGCCCTCGCCCCTCCTTCCCCACCTCGCCGCCTCCTCCCTCCTCCCGCTCCCTCCTGGGCCCCCTCCTGGCGCAGGCACCCGACGAAGTCCTCGAACCTCTCCGGGCCGTCGTGGAAGACGGCCTCGCAGAGGAGCGGCAGGGTGAGGGGAGAGGGCGCGGGCCCCCAGGGCGGAGAGAGGGCGAGGGAGGGGAGGATCGAGGAGGGAGGAGGAGGAGGAGGAGGAGGAGGAGGAGGAGGAGGAGGAGGAGGAGGAGGAGGAGGAGGAGGAGGAGGAGGAGGAGGAGGAGGAGGAGGAACTGTCCTGTGCCCCTCGTCCCTCGCTCCTCGTGCTCTCCTGTTTCTCCTGGCTCCGTGGCCTTTCTCGCTCCTCTCGCCTGTCCCCGTCCTCCGTCCAATCGTCTCTCGTCCCCGTCTGCTTGCCGGGGGGGCGCGGGGGTTAATTGAGTGCGGCGTCGATGGTAGATTCCGCTGGAGAACGCGGTCTTCCCCTCCCCCTCCTCCGCCTCCGCCCCCTCCTGCCTCCTCCGTCGAAGTGCATCTGGAGGCGCTGCCTGGCCAAGCAACCAGGCAAGCGCAGCTCGGATCGACCGTGCAGTCGCGCCCCCTGCTGCCGCCTGCTGGCCCGCCGCGGTCCCCTCTCTTCTTGGCAGCCAGGAGGAGGAGGAGGAGGAGGAGGAGGAGGAGGAGGAGGAGGAGGAGGAGGAGGAGGAGGGCAGAGGAGGAGGAGGATCGATCCCGGGACAGGAGAATGGACAATCCCACCAGCCCTTGAGGGCGTAGGTGGTCTAGAAAGCTTCTCTTCCAACCCCCTTCTTCCCCTCCGGGGAGGGGTTTATCCCTCCCCCTTACCCCCTCCCCTGGACTCGGACGGGAGCTTCCGCGAAGGGTTGGAGCGTCCAAGATGGCCCAGGACGGCTCCAAGAGCGCCTCAGAGAGCCTAAGATGACCTCCAAGATGGCTCAAGATAGCCAAAGATGCCTCAAGATGGCTCCCGAGATGCTCCAAGAGGCTCCAAGAACGCTCCAAGACGGCTCCAAGTGGTCACGGAGCCTCCCGAGGAGGCCGCCCAAAGCCCCAATCCTTCCAACACCTCAGGAAAATCAATGTTTCTTGCTTTATCGCCTTCTCGCTTCCGATGGCATTCCGAGGTCTCAGGATGGCTCCAAGATGGCACAAGAGGGCTCCAAGAGGGGCACAAGAGGCCTCCAAGACGGCTCAAAGAGCGCCCAAGGGCGCTCCAAGATCACCCCAAGAGCGCCCCACGAGGCGATTGTTTGGGCTCTGGAGGGAGGGTCCTAATTAAAGCTCCCCTCTTTTTTTGATCGATGTCTTCCAGGATGCTTCCAAGAGCGCCCCTACAGCTCCCAAGAGCGCCCAAAGAGGGCCCCAAGAGGCGCCCAGACGGCCCCAAGAGGCGCGCAAGGGGCCTCCAAGAGGCTCCCAAGAGAGCCTCAAGAGGCCTCAAGAGGATCCCAGAGGCACCCAAGATGCTCAAAGACTGCCTAGGCCCGCAAATATGCCCCCCAGACGCCCCAAAAGGCTACCAACAACCTTCGGAAATTCATCCGAGGAGACTCCGGGAGGCATTCAAGAGGTTTCTGACTCTTGTGTTCGCCCTTTTCCTCCTCGTCCTCCTCCTCCTCCTCCTCCTCCTCCTCATCTGCTTACTCCTCCTCCTCCTCCTCCTCCTCCTCCTGCTCCTCCTCCTCCTCCTCCTCCTCCCCTTCGTCCTTTCCCATGTTCTCCTCCCTCCTCCTCCTCCTCCTCCTCCTCCTGGTTCTCATCTGCCTATTCCTCCTCCTTCTATCTCCTCCGCCACCTCCTCTTCCATGTACTCCTCCATCCTCCTCCTCATTCGAAAGATAACGGCTGCCCCCAATCTTGCTCCTACACTTCCCTGGTCGCCCCGGCTCTCCTGGGCATCGTTTCTGGATGACTGGTGAGGATGCTCGAAGAGTCAACCCTTGCGGCCGCACCCGAGAAGCGCCCTGGGCCACCCTAAGAACGGCTCGCCCGCCGAGCCGAGCTCCAGCCGCGCCGCCGCCGAGCAGCCCCGCCCGCACCGCGCACACCGCCGATGGCTTCCGAGAGGCCGCAACCCGCGAGGGCACGCCAGTGGGCGGCTGGCCGGTGGAGGGCAGCGCCGAGTGGCACCGTGTCTCTCGGCGAGGTGGTGCTGCCGTCGGCGTTGCCGAGAGGTCTGCGCTCCCCGCGGCCAATGTCGCTGCGCCCCCTGCAGCCCTCGGTCGTCGCAGCCGCCCGCGCTGCCGCGCTGCGCCGCTGCCGCGACGCCGCGCTGCCGCGAGGTGTGGACGGCTGCGGCCGCGGCAGCGGTCGCGGCCGACCGTCCACGCCCTTGTCGTCGCATGCATCGTCGACAATGGCGAGGAGGAGGATGATGAGGAGGAGGAGTAGGAGGAGGAGGAGAAGAGGAGGGGGAGGAAGAGGAGGAGGATCGAGGAGGAGGATCGATCCCTGGACAGGAGGGCGGATGACTTTCTTGCGGTCGCAAGGCCGTCCACGACCGCGCTACCGCCCGTGGGCTCCCCGTCGCCGCTCGAACGCCGCGTGCGCCCGGCCAGGCCTGCCGTGCCGCAGGCCTGGCGGCGCCACCTCCCTGGCCTCCTCGCCTCGGCCGGGAAGCCGCCCACTGTGCAGCCCTGGGCGGCGCCGTGGCTTCCACCGACCGCCTTAGCGGCACGTGCTTGCCTTCGGCGCGGCGGCAGGCAGGGGCGGTCGCACCTCCGGCCGTCGCCGCGCTCGGCGTCGCTCGCCCTCCGCTTCATCATCATCTTACCAGTTCTTCGGATGGTCAGGGAGGAAGAGCGAGAAAGGGAGGTGGCGGGAAGGAGGATGAGGAGGGCAGATGGGGGTGAGCGCACAGGGACAGTGAGAGAGGATTGAGAGGGGTGTAGGGTGCGGGGATGGTGGTGGTGCGTGCGTGGAATAACCAACCTGTTCAAACATCGCACAAACTATCTTGGTTGAGTGCCAGGAGCATGCGGACCTGCACGGCCAAGGGCACCGGAGAAAATGTCAAATGAGCCGATGACTTCAGAAACGAGGACGACCCCTGCAACTACGGCGGTCTGCCCAGGTAAGCCGTCCTCCCTCCTCCTCGTTTTCATTCGCCCTTATCCTCCCCTTCCTCCACCGCCTTGTCCACCTCCTGCTGCTGTTATTCCTCCTCATCGTCCGTTCTCCCCACCTTCCTGGGTTGGACCTTCCTCCCTAACTTCCCTGCACCTCCCCGTCCTCCTCGCCTCTTCCTTCTCCTCCCCTGTTCTTCTTCCCCTCCCCTCCTCCTCCGACTCCTTCTCTTCCTCCTCCTCCTCCTCCTCCTTCTCTTCCCTCTTTCTTCTTCTCCTTGTCCTCTTTCCCTGTGTACTCTTTCCTACGTGCCATCAATGTATGTCCGCTTTGTCTCCTACACTTCCTCCTCCTCCTTATCCGCTATTTTTCTCAATGCTCCCCACACTTTCTTCCTGTCTCATGTCTCTTCTTGCACCTCCTCCTCCCTTTCCTCCTCCTCATTCCCTTGTCATGCTCTCCTTATCCTTCAGAGCCCTTCTCTTCCTCCTCGTCCGCGTCCTTCTCTAGCTCCTCCCTCCTCCCCCTCCTCTTACTCCTCCTTCTTTCCTTCCTCGCCTCCCCCTCCCCCTCCCCCTCCCCTCTTCCTCTCCCACTTGTCCCCTTCTCGCTGTTCTCGTCCGTCTCATCCCCTCCCTTTCCTCTCTTCCTTCTCCCCGTCTTCTCCTTCTCGCCCACCCCTCCCCTCAGTTCCTTGTCCTTGTAAACAACTCCTCCCTGCCGCACCCGAGACGAGAACGGGCTGGGCGTTTCGCGTGAGACTTACTCACCATTGAGGGTCCTTAAGCTGAGAGGTTGTAACACTTTCACGGATGGAGAGCGGGTCCTTTGCAAGATGTGGCTCTCGCTTTGGCGCCGCGAGCATTCGTCTTACAAGTTTGCACGTGTTTCACGGATGGAGGGAAGGCCGTTTTCAAAATGTGGCTCTCGCCGTAGCGCCTCGCACAATCGCCTTAAGAGCACACAGCAGTTTCACGGATGGAGGGCGGGCCGTTTTCAAAATGCGGTCCTCGCCGTAGCGCCGCGCACATGCGTCGTAAAAGTTTGCACGGATTTCATGGGTGGATGGCGGCTCCTTTACAAAGTGTGGCTCTCGCCGTAGCGCCATGCACATTCGTCGCAAGAGTATACAGCAATTTCGAAGATTCTTATGGCTGACATCCCAGAAATGATGTTTGGCACGATGTAGGACTGTCAGAGCGCAGCAGTCACGTTGATTCGCGGAGGTGAAATCTCAGGAATGGTGTTCTGGCGTGGTTCAGGATCGTCAGGACGCAATAGTCACGTTGATTCGTGGCGTTGATGTCTCAGGAATGGTGTTCTAGCACGGTTCAGGATTTTCACACGATTGTCTTCCAACGGTGCACTTCTCCGAATATCAAAGATTCGCTGGCTTAACGGGCCAAGGGCGTGCTACGATCACTGGTGACTGGTTAACAATATTTTAGCTCGCGCGCGCAGGGACGAAAAGTACCCAGGCAAGGTCCCGGCAAGTCCAGGCAAAGTCCTGAAGTCCTGGCAAATCCCGGCAAAGTCCCGGCACATCCCGGCAAAGTCCTGGCAAGGTCCCGGGCAGGTCCCGGGCAGGTCCCGGCCAGGTCCCAGCAGGCTCCCAAGAGCGTTCCAGGAGCGCTTCAAGTGGCCTCAAGAGATCTCAACTTGGCCCGAGACGGCCCAAGAGCGATCCAGGACGCCAAAGATGGCCTCCACACAGCCCGAAGCGCCTACAAGACGCCCCCAGAGGCCTCCAATAGACCTCCCAAGAGGGACCACAGAGGCAGGAATTCATGATTCTGCTGATATTTTTGAAGGTTTTTGGCGTTCTCGCCTTGCTTACCAGCGCTCCAATACGGCCCAAGAGGCTTCCAGGATCGCCCCAGCACAGCCCCAGAGGCCTCCAAGAGCGCCCAAAACGGCCCCAGAGGGCCCCAAGACAGCCCCAGAGGCCTCCAAGATGGCCGAAGAAGCTCCCAAGATGGCTCCAAGAGCGGGCCCAGACGGGGGACCCGAACGGACATTTCGAGCTCTACGCGCAGAGAGGTCCCATGGAGGCCCCAAGAGGCCTCCAAGAAGCCCCCAAGAGGCCCCCGAGAGGCCCCAAGAGGCCCCCAAGATGCCCCCGAGAGGCCCCAAGAGACCCCTACGAGGCCCTCAAGAAGCCCCACAAGAGGCGCACTGCCGACGACCACTCGGCGAGTCGACCGCGGTGCGCAATATGGGCCGGCGGAATGAGCGAAGCGATCAATAATTCCCTGCAGGGGCCAATGAACAAGGGAACTTGGAAAGAAGGTCTAATGAAAACCTCGTTGGTGACTCTTGGGTTTACACTGGTCCTCCCCCTCCTGCTCCTCCCATCCCCCCTTCATGCTCCCCGTCCTCCCTCCCTCCCTGGTTCGCTTCCTTCCGTCCACGGCCCGAGCCGGCCTCCCCGTTATCCGGGAGCCCGCGGATGAAGCTGGCATCCATGCCCTCCAGCATCCCTGGGACTGGCGCGGCCAGCGCTGGCCGCCAACTGCCCGGCTCCTTGCCCGTCGCCTGCCGTTTGGCTGCCTGGACGGGGAAGAGGGGCGGGAATGTCGGGGAGAGGAGGAAGTGGAGCGAGGGCGAGATACAGGGGGAGGGACACATGCATTGTGTGTGTGTGTGTGTGTGTGTGTGTGTATGCATGTATGTATGGATGTCTGTATGTATGTATGCATGCATGCATGTACGCATGCATGAATGTAAGTATGTATGTATGCACCTGTTCAGTTATAAACAGATATCTGTATATGTGTTTGTGCATGTGTATGTGTATGTGTATGTGTATGTGTAGGTGTATGTGTGTATGTGTGTATGTGTGTATGTATGTATGTATGTATGTATGTATGTATGTACGTACGTATGCATGTATGTATGTATGTATGTACGTACGTATGCACGTATGTATGTATGTATGTATGTATGTCTGTATGCATCTATGTATGTATGCATGCATGCATGCATGTATGTATGTATGTATGTATGTATGTATGTATGTATGTATGTATGTATGTATGTATATATGTATGTATGTATGTATACATGTATATATGCATGCATGCATGTCTGCATGCATTGATGTATGTATGCATGCATGTATGTATGCATACATATATGTATGTATGCATGTATGTATGTATGTATGTATGTATGTATGTGTGCATGTTGTATGTCTGTATGTCTGTATGTCGGTATGTCTGTGCGTCTGTATGTATGTATACATATATGTATGCATGCATATAGGTATGTGTGCATGTATGTTTGTTTGTTTGTTTGTATGTATGTATGCAAATGTATGTATGTATGTATGCATGTATGCATGTATGCATGTATGCATGTATGCATGTATGCACGTATGCATGTATGCACGTATGCATGTATGTATGTATGTATGTATGTATGTATGTATGTATGTATGTATGTATGTATGTAGGTGTGTTATGTATGTATGTCTGTATGCATGTATGTATGTATGCATGCCTCTATGTATATATATATGCCTGACTGGCTGGCTGTATGTATGTATGCATGCATGTTTGTATGCCTGCCTGCATGCATGCATGTATGTATGTCTGTATGTATGCATCTGTGCATGTATGCATGTATGTATACATGCATTTCTCTTTTTTCGCCGAGGCATCTGCACTGACAGATTCTGAACGGAGATTCGGCCGCGGATGTCAACAAATCGCGCATCTCCCAACTTGCGAAGGCGCCGAGACTTTTCAAACGCATTTGAAAAGACAGCCGTGTGTGTCAGAGAGTGGAGACACCCAGAAGAAGGAACAACAGAGGAGGAGGAGGAAAGGGGAGGAGGAGGCGAAGGGGCAAGGGCGCTGTGCGGACAACCCCTGCGGCCCAAACGGTCACTTATATAAGCCAAAAACCCACAGCACAATCCAGAGGGGAAGAGGAACGAGAGGAGGAAGAGAGAGGGGAGGGGGGAAGCTGAGGAATACTCCAATAACCCTGGAACAGCGCTCCAGCTAACCTGCGATAGGCGAAACGTTGCCTGCAACCAAGGTCTTGCAACACTGGAACATATGCAGACTTGGAGGTCAGAGCCCAAGCTCCGTGAATGACCACGTAAACTTAAAAGCCCGCCGGGATCAAAACGAGAAAACTCAAGCCGAGGCCAACTCGCCGCCAAGGCAAAGGGAACGAACCCTTGCGAATCGTGCACATGGACGCGGCACCATAAAATAAAGTATCCAAGAAGATGGCCGACGGCACTACTTCACACCTTGCCTCTACCATAGCGTGCAGTCGCCGAGCGACCGCAGGGAAAGGCCAATTGGAGGAAGGGAAGGAGGAGAAGGAAGGGGAGGCAGGAAGAGGGAAGAGGAAGAGGAGAACCTGCCAGCGAAAACATGCAACGCATCAGCGCTTGGATGTACAACTAAAGAAATCAACAACCGCGCGAGGCCAGCAGCGGCGACGACGCCGTGCAGGCATGCAAGAACGTACGGAATAACAAACCAGGAAACAAGAGAAAACTGACAGCGATCCGGCGAACGGTTGCCCCCAACAACATTTGCGACAACACACCTGGACCAAGGCACTCTACCAGCAAACTACAGCCGACAACATCGTAAACGCGTCGGCACGGCAACATTTTATCTTACCACGGCCAAGCGACACGGTTGGCCGAACAACGCCGGGATCTAGTCGGGCCAATTGTGGCCGCACCAACCTGACGAAACACTATACAAGCACTCTGCAGGAAGGCGACCAGCAGAGTCGCGGAAGCCCTGTGCCGCACATAACTGCTTAAAATGCATGAAAAGCTTGTGCGACACATGTGACAGTGAAACAAAACACCACAATCACAGAAAACAGCCCGGACAATGCCGGGAGATATCTGCGGACAATGCCAGTAATAGGCTTCCACTTGGGCAGCGGAGGAGGAGGACGAGAAGGAGGACGAGGAAGAGGAAGAGGAGGAGGAGGAGGAGGAGGAGGAGGAGGAGGAGGAGGAGGAGGAGGAGGAGGAGGAGGAGGAGGAGGTGGAGGAGGAGGAGGAGGAGGAGGAGGAGGAGGAGGAAGGGGACGGGGACGAGGAGGAAAACGACCGCTGCCCACACGTGCGGCGAGAGCTCACGGGGTGAGGGTGCGGCCGCAGGGTGCGAGCCACCCGGCCCCGCCGTTCGGCGCGCGCGCCCGCGCCTTCAAACGAGGACAGAAGGAGGACGGGGGGGGAGGAGGAGGGGGGAGGAAGGGGGGAGAAACAGGAAAGAAACAGAAAACTAGTCCACGCCACGAAGCCTCTTCGCGGTCGTCTGGATGAGGTGCTGGAGCTTCGACTGGCCGAACGCGGCCGCCCGTGCATAGCCGCGGAAAGCATCTGGCGCGTCGGCGCACAATTGTCCGTGTCGCCACGCGTTATGGGTCCTAAACAAAGCGTGCGCGCCAACGGCACGGAGGGCAATTGCAGCCACCGTGGCCCCCTCACCCATGCGCTGTTCAGGGAGGGAGGACACGTGCGGGGCGATACCTAGAAAATCTGGCAAGCGAGATTCAGGCGGGGGCTGGCTGAGCCCGAGGAAGCGGCGGCACAGCGAATGTAACGAACTGCAAAACGCGTCGTGCTCGAGGGAGTCTTCTCCTCTTTGACAACCAAACAGGCATCCAGCAGTTCCCTGGAAGCGCCTTGTTGCGCACCAGCCGTTCCACGCTGAGCGTAGTTGACGCGCCTGCGCCCGAGGAGGGAGGAGAAGCGCAGAAAGAGCGAGAGAATGCGCCCAGGCGGCGGGGCGGTGACCTGGTAGCACGGAGGCTTGCCAGCGGTCGAACCTGCTGCCCACGTGCGTCGTCGAGGAATGCCTAGCAGCGGCGCAGAGGACTCGCGCGGCCCGGGCCTGCCAGTCCTTCTTCTCGTCCGCGGCGGGGCCGCTTGCAGTCAGCGAGGGGCCGCCCAGGCGCGCCGCCAGCTCCGCGGCGGTCAGCGCGGTGGAGGCCGCGCAAAGATGGAAGATGCAACAATCCTCCACGGAAGCCTGGCATCTCTCGACCCGGTGCTGGTTCTCTGGCAGCTCAGCCAATCGCCGCAATATCTGCGGGCCCGTGCTTGCGCTGCGAGGCCCCCGTGTTCCGCGTTCGCGAAGCGAGCCGCCCAGGCCCGGGCCGCCATGGCAGCGCTGGGCACGTCTGGCAAGGCACGCGGAAAATGGAGCGCCTGGAGGTCCTGAAGCGCGGTGGCCGTGATCCAGTCCTTTGGCCCCCTGCAGCAAAGAACACACCTTCTCCTCAATATCCGAAAATGCAACAAGCAGAGGGAGCAACTGCGCGACAAACTGCACTACAGAGCTGACGTAGACCTGGTACGCGAGCATGGATTGAAGCAGACCGACTCCCAGCTTGCCCCACCGTTCCGCCCTGTCCACAAACTTCTAAAAAGGTGCCGCCCACGAGGTCTCCGCCCGCACGGGCCCCGCGATGACGCCCAAGTATTTAGCTTTCCCAGCAGTGGGGGGACCCGCCCCGCAGCGGCGCAGCTCGGGCCGCGCGTGCCCGAATCTCGTCCAGGTCATAAAAGGGGGGCAGCGGCACTGGCGCCGTCTTGTGCACGTTCAATTTGAGCCCGGAAATGCGCTCGTACTCCGTGAAGACGTCCTGCACCAGCCCCAAATGCTGCAGAAGCTCAGGGTCGACCATCGCTGTGTCGTCGGCGTATGCCCGAGAGCAAGCGGAGGGCGCGGCGCGCCCCAACTTCCCGAGGAGCGAATGTGACGCCACGGCGGATAGGAGCGGAAAAAGAGGACAGCCCTGGCGAATCCCTCGATCAAGCCTGAAGCCAGCGTGCCGCGAGCCGCCAAGTACCATGTGGCATTCGTTGCGGCTGTGCAGGAATGCGAAGAAATGGATCAACCTGGATGGCCAACGCAGCCGGCGGAAGACGGCGAACAACGTGCCGTGCTCGATAGAAGGGAACGCAACCGCACAATAAAACAAAAAACAGAGCCCCTCCTTCGTCCGCCGAACGCGCGCAAGTCGCCATCGCTTCCTCCGCGTCCACAAGAGTGGCCAGCATGCTCCGGCCTGCAATGAAGCCCCGTTGGGTCCAAACGACCTTCGGCCCGACAACGGGCTCGACGAGGTGGCGCACCGCATTGGCCAGCAAGCGGTTGTCGGTGTTCGTCACCGACAGCGGCCGGGTGTTCTCGGACTCGTAGTACCCCTCCCCAGAGGGCAGCGTGCCCAGAGGCGCTTTGGGAAGGAGGAAAAGCAAACTGGAGTTCAGGTCTGCCCACTCGTCGGCCGCAGCGCTCGCGCCCTCGTCGGTCATCAGCGCGCGCCGAGTCGTGCAGGACATTCGAGGACGGCTGGAGACGCCGCCGCGGCGCCGAGAATCCAATGCCGTCCCTGGAGCAGAGTCGTTGGAATGCTGGATGGCGTGTCTGGTGGCGCCGGCGCAAGCGGGAGGAAGCGGCGGGCGCCTGCAGGGCGTCTGCCGCCGGCCCGTGCGCCTCGTCTTCCAGTAGCCAACCCTTGAGCAGCTGCTCGTCGACACCCCTCGGAGCGAAGACCTGCGCCCAATGCCGGCGCGGCTCCTTGGCCATGGCCCCGGGCTCGGTGAGGACCTGCCCGCCTTGCGCCATCACTGCTGACAACTCCGCGGCGCTGCTGGGAGCGAGTCGTTGCAGGAGGCGAGTATTCTTCTGCCTTGCCTGCGCTGCCAGCAGCGGGTTGGGGCCGGTGAGGTCCCCGTGGGACCTGTTGAGCTCGTCCAGAGGGTGCTCCCGAGCAGGGGCGCTGGCGCGCTCCCTAGCCGCGCGCAAGCGCATGCGGGGGGAGATTGTTGCCGGTGTGGCAGGGGCTGTCAATCATCTCCGCCAAGCGCGGGTAGCGTTCCAAACGAGACGAGCGTGCCCCGGCCGGGCCTTGCTCCACCGCCCTCGCAAATTTCATCTTGACGCCGAGGCGGTCGTCCAGGTCTGTCGCGGCAGGTGGTCGGCCCGCGTCGGCGTCGAGCCGGAAAGCGACCTCCGTCATCGTGGCCTTGAACACCAGCAGCCTGCGAATAGGGGTGGCGCCTGGTGTCTCCGCGAGCATGGCGCGGTGCTCCATCGCCGCTCGCCTGGGGAAGTCCTCGTGGCGGAGAGCCCGCTCGGGTAGCGATCGCTCCTGCTGCGGAAGTCCCCGGGGCGACGGACGGGCCGCATGGTCGGCGCGACGCGCCGAGAGATCCGGCCGCCGCTCCAAAGCGGACGCGCGCGTCGAGCGGTCGAGCTGCCCCGCGGCGCGGGAATTCATGCATATTATGTCCGGCCAGGCGCGGGGCCATGCGGCGGCGTGCGTGTGTTCGCCCTGGGAGATCTCCAGGGGCCCGTGCCGGCGAGCAAGCACTTCGTGGACATGCGCCTCCTCGCTTGTGTCGCCCCTGCCACTCGGGCGCTGCGTAGCCAGCGCCATGCGATCCTCCGGCGACGTGGCGTAATGAAGTCCCCGCCCAACACTGTGAGGGCCCTATCCCGAGGAACAATCCGGCCAGAGTGGCGGTTGCGCACGTGCGCGCGCAAGGCAGGCAAGGTCGTCATAGAGTCCCAGTGCGGCCCGCCGACGCCGAAGAGGTCGGCCTCCGTCACTGCGGCCCCTGCCCGGGAGAACGCGGCGATCAGGTCGAGCGCCCCGCGTGGGCCGCGATCATTTTTTTGTGCTTGGGGGCCCAGCCTGCCCGCTTGACCTCCCGCTTGACCTCGGTCAACAATTTGAGGAAACAAACTTGTGCTGCGATGCCGACCCCCGCGTGGCAGGGGGGCGCGCCAACCGACCGCCGCGCAGTGGTTCTGGCAGGAGTGTGCCAAGTTCCGTTGCCAGCATTGGCCCCGTGGGTCTCGGTAAGCATGCGCGCGTCCGCCTGGCTCATCAACTCGTTGACGCAGTTGGCCCTCGCCTGGTGCCGCGCCAGATCTGAGGCAAAGCGCGCCTGGGCGTTCCAGCGAACGACAGAAATATCCAGCATGAAGTGGCCATCGCGCCGAGCTCCGGCAGGCGGCGTCGACCTCGGGGCAGAGCGAGCAGGCGGGCGAATGACATCGTGAGGTGGGGCCCCGAGAGCTCCGCGAAGAATCCGCCGGGGTGTCGACCGAAGCGTCGTGGCGGGGGCGATCGGGGAGCAAGTCGCTATCATAGTAAAACAGAAGAGGAATGCGAGGGGGAACGCGGTCGTTGAATTCAATGCCGTAGGTGGGGGGGCCCCCCAGCGAGAGGCGGCCCTCGCGGCGCGGCCCCAACTGGGCGGGGCAGAGACGCAGAACGACCTCGACGAACCAGAAGGCCCGCCTCAAAGCGCTGATGCAATAAAATCCTGGCTTCTGCCCCGAGCCAGCCAGATGCTTGGCGCCCCGGCGGCGCCCGCTGGCGTCGCGGCGGGCTGCGGTCGGCCGTTTCCTGAGCCCTGGCCCGGGGGGGGGGCCTGCAGCGCGTGGTCGTTCAACGCTTCGATGGCCGCCTTTTCGATTCCCGCCTGCGCCGTCTGGCCGTGCAGAGCCGCGTGAACGCGACGAACGTCTTCGGGTCCAGAATGGTGCGCGAAGACGACCTGGAGGAGCAGGGGGGTCACGAGAGGAGAGGTGGTAGAACGCCCCGGCCCTCAGCGTGGTGTCCGCGACGTAGTCCTGGGCGCTGTGGTGCGGGCGGGTCCTCGTCTTGGTCGCCGCCGGCGCGCTCGGGGCCATCGACGGCGCGGCTGCCGCGCGGCCTCCGTGCTGCGACGGCGCCCACTTCAACTTAGCGGCTGCCGTTCCTGGGTCGATCAGCGCCCGCCCGTCGAGGGCCTCTGCCCGGACCTCCGACGAGGCCTCAGGGTGGGCCGGCGCGCGGGTGTCCGACGGCGCCGCCATCTGGGAACAGAGCGGCCAGACACGGTGCAGGACCGCAGGGCCGTTGACCTCCAGGAGCATCGCGTTAGCGAGGGGACGGGGAACGTCGTCTCGGGGGAGGTGATGCGACGTAAGTGGGGCAATTGAGGAAAATGGTCAACTGGAAGCGGAGCGGGGAAGATGGGGTCGAGGGTGGTGCGTGGAAGGTCCCAGGTACTCGCCCGGCTCCGCTGCGGGGGGCGGCGAACGATCTGGCCCAGCGTCGGGCCCCGGATAATGGCGTAGAACCTGGGCAAGTCCTTGGCGAGCATGTCGACCGTCGCGACCGTGGCCGCCGCGATCTGCGCCAACGACAATACGTGCTCCAAAATCTTCGGAATCGACTGGGAACCGATGAAAGGCGGCTTGAAAACGGCCAGTCCCATGCGAAGATGCCGCGGGCAGTTGCGGCCAGGGTGGGTGGATTCGAAAGGGCGCGGCGCAATGCGCGGGCTCTTGACTAGAGCGGCCCATCTGTCGCTCATAATCGGAGACCGCCGCAAATCCATGATGTTCTCAAGGGGGGGCCATGCCCCAGTGCAGCTGGAGGGGCACCGGAAGACGCGCGCTAGGCGGGGGGCCCCGGGGCCCAGCATTCCGCAGTAAGGCGGAAAGAGATCTTGCCAGAGCGTTGCGGCTCGCCGGAGCCCGCGCCGTGGCCGCCTGCCCCAGGAGCCGCTCCCAAACCTTGGGTTCGCTCTTCTCCGCGAAGCTCGCGACCTCTCGGGGCTCCTCCACGCGGTGGGGCGCATCGAGGCTGAGGATGTTGGACCGCTGGGTCAAAAGGAAGTTGTCGGCGGCCTCCCTGTGGGCGTGCAGCGTTTCGACGGCCGCCGGGCCAAGCTCCTTCCATGGGGGGGGGGCTTGGAAGCGTTCGCCACTCGCCGCGCTAGAAGACTTTTGGGAAGGTCGGTCTCGCACTTGACGGCATCTCTGGAAATCTTCGCGATCGCGCCACGAGCGTGCTGTGCATCGGCGCTGGCCCACGTCCTCTTCTCAGCCAGATTGCACGGGGATCGCGAGCTGCGCAAACGACTGGCGATGAGCTGTGCCGACAGGTCGGGGCCCTCGTAGAAAGCGAAGGTGGTGCCCTGTCTCCCTCAAGATGGCGGCGGGCCGGGCCCAGTTTGAGGGCATCTCGAAGGGCGTCGAGGCCTCCGTGGTCATGGTGTCGTGCGCCGCCTGAACGATTCTGAAATGGGTCAGGACGTCGTCCTCCAGTCAATCCCTGAGGAGCTGGCCCTCGACGGAGGGGATCGACGTGGGCGGGGTCGAAGAGGTGGGCGAGGAGGTGGGCGTGGCTGGCGCCGCCTCAGCAGCCGCTGCCGTCCTCTGGATGTCGTCGTCGAGAACCTCGATGGCGTCCAGGTGGTCCATCTCGGCGGCAATGTCTGCGTTCATCTGCAGTTCCGCCGCGCCCTGCGTGACCCTGATGCCGTCGGCTTCAAAATTCATGTTGGCGTTCGCATCGGCATCGGCGCAGGCGTCGGGCGCGCCAGGCATCTGGGCAGCCACCCAGGGGCCGCGGCGTGCGCGGCGCGGAGTGCGACCCCAGGAAGTCCGTGGGCGCCCACGCCTCCGGCCAAGCACATAGAGCATCGCCCAGCCATCGCGGGCAAAAGTGTGGCCGAGAACGAATGAACGACCCCCCGCCCTGGGCAGGGCACCTGGTCGAGGAATCTGCCTTGAGACACTTGGGCCACCTTGAACCGGATACATATATATATATATATATATATATATATATATATATATAGATATATATCTATGTATGCATGCATGCATATATGTAAGCATGCGTGCGTGCGTGCACGCATGTATGTATGTACGTACGTACTCGAATATGCATGTATGAGACGTAGGAACTAGGCGCGAGCAGCTCACAACATCTAGGTGGTCCTCGTTGGCATGGCTGAAGTGGTCGTAGCCTGGAGCCAAGCAACGCAACCTTCAACAAATGAAGCCGGACCGTCGCGCTGAGCGCGAGGGTCGGGTCAAGATGGCGAACGGCGTGGCATGCCAGGACAGCCGTTGCCCGCTGGTGCGCGTTGGTGTGGGTAGGCGCCGAGAGAAGAAACCGGAGTGGGAGACTTGGTCGGGCGTCAGCCGTGCGTTGAGCTGCACGTCCGGGGTCTGGCATGCCACCGGCCAGCGCCATCGTCCAAAGGGGCGCGCAGAGTCAATGATGCGTGAGCTCGTCCAGACACCCCGCGCACCCGAAAACGCATGGCGATGTGACATCAAGGTGGAGGCGCGAACTACTTGTCCACGCATTGGCCCAAGTCTTCAGGATCGCTGTTGACCACGCTGGGGAAGAGTGACTACATGTGGAGACGCGCGCCATATGCATCAAATATTCCTCTCGGTACGCTTGGCCACGCAGTGTGAGAATGACGTGCAATAGGGGCTGGAATAAAATCTGATAACGATGCCGACCGAATCTTCTCTGCGATAAAGCGTTGTACCTACGCCTTCGGGCGGCCAGCTGGCTCGGCCAGGCGGCGTCGGTCCCGCAGTATGCGGCGAGCTTCGGCAACAATTGGTGGTGAGATGCTGCCCGATACGCTGTGATTGGGGAGCCCTTCTGAGGCATCGTGCAAGATCAAAGCAACGGGGGCAGAGCCCCAATGGCGAGGGGGTGCTACTCCAGCCGCAACGTCGACTGCAGAGAAATGCTCCGCAGCTGCAGCGCGAAGAAATAAATCTAAATTTGCCTGCCAAGATGTGATCGCTGTTGAAGAAGCCCAGACCAACCGAGAGATAAGGTCGACCAACATGCTATCGTTTGACACCGAACCCCAGATATGCAGACTGAACATGTCCTTGCGAGAGAGAGAATGCGGGGGAATGTGACGAAGGCGATGTAGGGCATGAAGCTCTCGGCGCAGGAGACTCTTGGGAGAGAGGGCAAATTGGCCAACGTATCCCAAGGTAGGAGGAGCATGGATGTTGTGAAGAAAGGGCGCTGGAGTAGGAGGGGCACCTGTGGCGGCAGTCGTGGCGACGCGGGAGTGGCGCTTCTTTGCGTGCGCGCGCCGCGTGAGGTTGCCGACGGCGGCCCCCGGATGAACGCCGAGATGCTTTGTGCCCGGCGCGATTTGGATGTCGATCCAGTCGGGGATGCGCTCTGATATCCAAATGCGGGTCGCCGTAGCTAGGTCGCCGGGCCAAGGGCGCGCCGGCTACGGGCGACGCCGGCAGAACTTGAGGGCGAGTCCTGCCGGGAGTTTGGCCAATTCGAAGATGCTTGCCATAGTGGGGAACATCCAAAGATGAAATGGCAGTGCCAACGTCGTCAGCGCAGGCTCGCGCGATACCCTGGCCTGCCGAGAGGCGAGGGGATGGCGTGCTCAGACCAATTCAATAAGGGGTCGAAGGCAAGCGCGAAGCAGCAGCTGGCCAGAGGACACCCCTGAACGACTCAACGCAAAATTAGAAACAAGTTCCTGATCTTGGTACTGGAACGTCCGACTGCGACAACAGACGCGTGCATGACGCGGATGACGTTGATCGAGCCGCGCGGCAGCCGGCTGGCCGAAGCAACGATGAACGGCCGCTGGTGAATCATGGAGGGAAACGCGCGCCCATAATCTGCGAAGAGAAGGTGTGGGCAACTAAGTGTCGGCTGCGAAACGCATGCCCTACCATGGGTATAAAGATCCACGATGTTGTTCGCAAAATTGCGTCCAGAGACGCATCGATTTTGTCGGCGGGGGAGTTTTCTCCGCGACCGCGTGCGTGGTGGATGAGTGGGCGGATCCGCTGATGATCTTGACGTCTGAGTTCTTGAGCCCGATCGGTCGAGTGGACGTGGGCCCCCGAACAGAGGCGCGGTCGTCGTCTTCCTCGGAGCCCTTCGGGGTGAATGTGGTGAAGGTGTCGTTGAAAACTAGCGGGGGGCGTGGGCCGGGAGACATCCCAGCGCCCGCTTGATGGGGAAGTGTCCATGCGCGAGGTCCAGCGCGCAGCCAATCACAATCGGGAGTGCCATCCTGGTGCCGCATGCCGGACATGTCGAAGAAATCTGCAAATGTCCGTTGAAGGCGGCGGGCCGCGGTAATCGTTCGCGGAGTAATCGGGGGGGAAGCGCGAAGCAACCAAGCGAACAATATCTGTGTTGATGGGGGTCGCTGTAGAAAATGCCAGCCCCCATGCATGCGTGAGCGTCTTCATCTGGCCGCCCTCCTCCTCGATGTTCTTGTCGCCGCAGCGGATGGCGGCGATGTGGCGCTGCTTGCCGAGAGGCGACCAGATCTCTCGGGGCCCGTCGAAGAGTGGCGCGTCTGCGACGACTCGCCCGCGACGGGGTAGAAGGCGCATGTGGTTCGCGAGGTCGCCGCTCCAAAGCTGCGAGTCTGACGTCGGCGCGCAGGGGGGCGAATGCGGAGGGGTCGCGCAAGATGGCCAGGCCGCTCTCGACGCCGAGGCTTTGCGGGGCAAGCTCCGAGCCTGATGGCAGGGTGAACGCAAGGCTGGCGTCGTTGTGCCAGACAGCCCGGGCGACCGAAGAGCGCGCGGAGGCGCGGGCGTCGGGCCCCGCGCCAGGTGACGCGAGTAGCTTGTTTCTGGTGGCCCGCGCTGCAGCTCGGATCGGGCGATTGAACTCCGCCGGGCGCAATGGCGCCGAGAAGTAATCGAAGTCAGTGGCATCCAAAAACAATGCAATATTCTCAGAAAACGAAGGATGATCAACAACGCGCCGTATAATAAGTCGAATATGCCGTGGAAGATGGGGGCGATAGGTGAAAGGGGAAGGCGACGGGTGCATGATCGCTGATCCCCAGTTGGTGGCAGAAGCAAGGATCGCGCGGCAACTTCCCGTGTAGTCCCGGCTGTGGGACAAGCCGCGCGGGCGAAGCAACGTAGAGCCGATCCAACCAGCCAGTGGAAGATGTAGTAGAGTTTGAAGTGCGCGCCGAAAGGTTGGCTTATCTCCGTGAACTGGTCCGGCATGCTCTGCTGGGCTGCCTGGTGAGGACTCGCCGCGGGGGGGCTGTGATGAGAGAGTGTGGATGAACTGGGGTCCGAGAAGGGTCGTCGGAAACCGCCGGGGGCGAGAACGTTGAAGTCACCGGAAAGTATCGCAAAGTTGTTGCGCGGATCAGCCTGGGCGGCAGCCGCGTCGCGGCCCACCGTCGCCGAGACGCGCTGGGCGTCCGCGGATGTCAGACCGAACTTATGGGTGTTCCAGTGCGCCCGCGTGCAGTCGCGAGTGGAAGCGCAAACGCGTAGAATGCGCCCGGGGGCCGGGAAGGAAGAGGCAAAGACGGCGTCGGAGCCAGGAGGGGGGGCCGGAACGAGCGTTGCGACAGAACCTTCGTCCTCCTTGTAGCTGGCCGCGCCGCTGAGCGTGAACGAATGGAATTTCTTGTAGTGGCAGAGGAGATGAAACAAGTGAGTGAGAAACCTTTCCAGGAGCGCCGTGTGCTTTTTGGGGGGCGACAAAGTGCTGAATGCGGTCAGGGGAACGAGGGCGGTCTTGGAGAATGCGCGCTTTCGCAAGACGACGGCGGGGGAGATGGTGATAAAGAGCGCGAGCATTCCAGGGGGCCAAGCCGACCAAAGCAGGTGAAAACTTCCATGGGGACGCAACCCTGCTACCCAGACCACGTGACCTGCTGCGCGGGTCGGCGGGCTGGGCTCTCAAACTCGGGCTGAACGGTCTCGCGCGCATTTTGTGCAGCATCGAGTTGAAGTGCATTCCGCTGCGCGTTGGACGGGTTGTCGTCGTTGCGTGGCTCCAGCATCGCCAAAGGGACGCTGTCGAACTTGATGAGGCCGTCAACCTTGTTCCAAGCGGAATGCTTGTTAGGGTACGCGTGCTGGAGAGCTTGGAAAAGACGCTTGCAATCGCGCTCGCGTTTCTGCTGACAGGGGTTCTTGTCGAAGTCGATGTAGACCGTCGACAGCGTGGCTCCAGATATAGTCTTGTAGTTGGGGGAAGGCCTACATTCGCTGGCGTTGTTTTTGAGTATCCCGCGAGCCTTCCGAGCCGGATTCTCCGCGAGTCCGGCATTGCCCTTGAACTGTGCTGTAAAACGCTTCCCGACCTCAGGACCAAGGAGAACAGCCCTATCACCAGAACTGCAGTCGGCATCATGAGGCCAAGAATGGATGGCTGTGTTGATTTCGGTCTTGGACGTTGGCTCTGGGACGTTGAGGCGCAAGCTCGTGCTGTCCACCTGCCGGTTGTATTCCGAGAGGTCGAAGGTGTCCTTGATGGGGGCGGTGGCCTGCGCGAGGACGACGACACGTTGCAGGGCTTCGACGACCCCCGCTGCTCCTGAGCCCAGCGCGCATCAACAAGATCGCGTTCCACGCCATGGAAACGACGCTCGCACTTCACCTCCGTCGCCTTGACCAGCTTAACAATGGCGGCCATGCACTTGTCGGCGAATTCTTTGACAGAGGCATCCGCGTGGCCCAACACTTCCTACCAGAAAACCTCGGACGGG